CCGGACTGTATGGCAGGGTATCTGGGATGCTGCCAGTAAGGGTGGCCTCCTACATGCTCATGCCATACACACTTCCTGTACAGTCAGCATACTCAGTGGCCCAGAGGTAAGACAGAGGTCGCATCAATAACGGTATATCACTTTTAACCAAATGAGCTTTGAACTTAAAATTAGCTGGTGTCAAATCCGTGACCATTACCACTTTGCTTTGGACCAGGTTTGTAGAGTGGATCCCAGAGGTGCCCGCTGATGTCCGTTGGCTGTTTGAGGTGGCAGGTGATGTTTACAGACAGGCCTGGAAAGGAGAACAAGCCAGCGCTATGAGGTGACAGAAAATATGGCATACAGAGTCATTTTCAAACAAACGTTAGAGGTTTAGCGTCAGACGCTTTCAGACATGTCCTCTTTCTAATAATCTGAAAGCTGGAAAAATATCTGTCTTCATTTTTTTCTGTTTTCACTATTCTCATTGTGGAGTCCAGATCACCTCTCACTTCTATACATGAATCTTGTTTCCATTGCTTTTTGTACAGTGAGCCCTGCCTGAGGAAATGCCTGAGTGTTCCACCGCTATCTTCGGAGTGCGGGCCCAGTCAGAAAGATATCCCACCTGCTCTTTCCTCTGTCGAGCTCCACAGCAACTACTGGGAAATCCCCAAATCTGCCTTCTCCGCGTCTCATCAGAGCCATCCAGCCATCGATCCCTCCTCCCCACAGGATGTCTGCTTCTTTGTTGGCATCCAAGATGAACCATAGAACGTTCACAACAGTCAGATGCTCCAGGACCTGAACTTTAACAGAAACACGGTCTAATGTCAGCTCTCTTGTTGAGACAAGGATGGATCGATGGATGGTAGAAATTTTAGCCAGTACTCACTGGTGTGTATCTGTTTTTTACACTGACTCTGAACACTCCATCCAGTGCAAAGAGTATTGTACTTCTGTGATGTGTTTTATGACCTAAATCGGTGCGCAGCACAGTATGATATCTATCTACTTCCCTAAATATTTTTAGGTTTAAAATATGCATTCATAGGAACCATCCCAGTGCATTCAATGACAGCTTCTTTCTTTCCCTTCAAATATTGACTCCTTCTTCATTTCACCACGCTGATGGACTTGTACCGTTGAGTGATATGTCCAAGGTTTGTGGTCCCAATCACTAATTTAAAGTTTTTTTCAGTATATAATGATTTTAATTTTCTAAATAATTAATACTCCACAGAGTAAAACGGGTACCAAAGAAGGCGGGGCTACCGTGTGAAGGTGTCCTTTGGTTCTCAGTGCGATCAAATTCCAGAGAGACTGATTGTATTCAGTATAATGTGAAACTAGGGAGTGAGACCTCAAAGTCATCAGGAGTCTTTTTTTAGGTCATAGCTGAAAGCTGTTTTACTAAAAAGAGACTTTTTGCAACTACAGGGGTCAGTCTGTGGTGGCCTTTAAGGAGAATGCAAGTTTAAGGCACTTCCTTATTGCCTTTTAAACCTGAAATCTATTTATTATATATAAAGGCTCTAATATTACAAATCTTGGTGCAACAATCCTTAGCATTAATCCAGGTGACCTTTCCAGGATTTTTGAGTAAAACCAAGTTGTTCACTTAATTGGAACTTTTAACTCTTCGTCATTGCAGCTGTCTTGTATTAGTAAATCTCTACTGCATAAGGAGAGGCTATTTCACATGACTGGGCAGAGTTATGTGTGATGATGGGTCTGGGGTAAAAAGCTGTTCCTGAGACTGGTTGCCTATTATTTGGCGACTCTTCTAAGCTGATGATGACCTGGATGTGATGAGTGTCTGAGAATGTTAGTGGTTCTGTTTTGGCAGCGGTGTCTGTAGATATGTTCAAGGGAGAGAAGAAGGCAGCCAAAGCTGTTTTGTGCAGTAGTAATGACCCATGCCCAAATTACTAGTCGGCCACTGAAACCTGAAATGTTTCTGCTAGAGAAAATGCACTGAAGCTGACATTTTCAGGTTAAAGGCTGGTTCTGGTCCTGGGCCAGCTAGGCAAAGGGGAATGCAATCAGTAGTACAAGTCACATCAGCCCATTGCTTCTGGCCAATAATGCAGTGCATAGGCTGAATGCTGATTGGCTGAAAGGAAGCGTAAACTGAAAAGGGAATGACCACAGCCTTAATCTGCAGTACAAAGAATTTCTTTGTGCACTATGAACTCTGTAATTCCAGCAAAAGGACCAACAGAACCACAAACAAGAGTGGCCCATGTTCCAGTTATTAAATAGTACATGTATGTTTTTAAACTATAGCAGCAATGTCAAGTTGTTTGCATCTGCAAAGTGCTCTGTAGCACCGACACAGTACCGTGCTGGAGCCAATACGTTCCATTTTTATAGGACAAACGCACAGTTTTAGCATGGATGAAGACATGGTCCAGTACACCACAAAACTTTACAAACTTTTAACACTTTAGACATTGCACAGGCACAGTATTCAGACATGCCATTAAACTGTCTTCTGTAGGCGATAATAACTCTCCCATAACATATAATTCAGTGTTAAATAAGTAACAGTCGGCTGCCTGAAGCCCGCCATACAATAATGGCTTTTATATCTAAGTTGCAGCTCACTGTAAGTATAACTTTCAGGGTGACTGACTTGAAATGGAAAAGTAATGTTAAATATTGAGATGTGTCTACCAAACAGCACAAGTCATGTTATTCACTTTCAAATCATTTTGAGCCATAAAGCCAGCGGCAGACCTTTGCTAATGGTTCCAACACTGAAGCTCAATAACCGCCATCAGATGTGGTTATTGAGCTTCTTCCTCTGTAAGGTGACCAAACTTTTGCACATGTCACAGTCACAATTTTTATTTGTTATATTATTAAGTTCAAAATTAAAAGATAACAGTGCAATGACCTTTGAAGACAGGCTTGTTTTAATTCCCTTCTTTTAAGTATAAAATATCAACTCAATGTGCTATTTCCCAGAGATTTGCTGGTATTTACATGGTCAGACCTTGAAATATTGAAATGTTTTGTTTCCCGCAAATGTAATTTGTGTTAAGACACTGTGATATTTCAAGATTAAACAATTGATTCCATTGCTGTAAATGGTAAATGGACTGATTCTTATATGGCACTTTTCTACTCTCCTGGAGTACTCAAAGCACTTTATACAACATAAAGCCACATGTGGTCTCAGCCACATTTGCACATGAGGCTGTGAAACACAAAGATTCATCCTGACACAAGAGAACTTCAGAAGTCATCCGCAACAACGGGAGAAAGTCCCAGAAGGATTACAATCTCAGGAGCAGTCCATAATTCAAGTGTGTATGGTAGAGCAGACACCTGCAAGTGTGACTAAAATATGATCACAAAACAACAAAAATATGCACGTTCTATATATAAAGTCGAACACGGAGAGTTCCTGCACAAGTGCAGTGATTTTGACTGGATGGCTGATATAGTTTTGAAACAAACCTCCTCATTCTTCATGCAGCGCATGAAAAAACCTGCTCTCCTCTTTCTCCAGGTGAAGAACACCTTTCAGCTCCAGGCCCTATTTGATTTAGAATACTTCTTGATGTTCCTGAGTTTGTTGACTATTTTTATTTTTTGTTTTCTAATATTATTAAGGCAAAGTTTGTCTTTGTGACATGACATGCGCTAAAGCAAATCTGATTAATATCTGACTCTAATGGAAACAATAAAAATAGTTCATGTTGTATTGTACTCTGATTACCTTATTTTAATCTGTGCAGCCTTTTCCTTTACCATAAATGTATGTACACAGGAACCACACAGACCTCTTGCCTTGCAACTCCTCCCACGTGGCCCTACTAAGCCAATCAAATGCTTTATTTAGAGCACGTGTGAAAATGGAAAACTATTGTTGGACTGTAACTTCTTTGTTTTATTTGACAGCCAGTTGATTACCATGTGCAGACACGGATTCAATTCTTAGGCTACTATAAAATACATTGCATTGGATTCCTATCTGCATGTGAGTTAGTAGCCCCAATGAATAATTATAATTCAGTTTCATGCACTGCAGACAACCCCAGAGTGATGCATGAATTCATGCAAAATGATAGTATGTTTATTAACACGCAAACAACTAAAGATCTGACAGAAATGTTTTCTTACATGTCAGCTGTTACACATACAGGAAGGAATAGTTTGTAATAAGGCAACTCCCTGGATATCTTGATGCATGCTCAATCATCCAGGTGAATCCAGAAAGGTTGATTCTGTTCATCTGGATGTTTTCAGTGGGAGGAACGTTTGGTCAATCATCCAAGTGTATACTTCAGTCAATGTTTTTCCCACTGAAAACGCTACGTCCAGATGAACAGAATCAACCTTTTGGAACTCCCTGGATAAGTCCAGGAGTCCACCAAGTCTCAGTTCTCAGGACCACGCAGTCTCCACGAATTCTTGTCAGAAGATTTCACCCTTATATTATAAAAATGGAACGTAGAACCTCCACTATTCATTAAATCAAACTTCAGACTCCCAACCAGTTGATTCATTGAGCAATGATTCCACATTTTCCTCAAATTATAGACCCCTTCCCATGTAAATTATTCATTTGTTTCCAGAGTCAGTATTGTATCACAGCTGATTTTCCCTGCTGTGTCAGTAGTTTTGTTAATGTTACTAAACATCCAGGAGGTATCCAGGGCTGTTTACAGGACTTTTGAAATGGAGTGGCATAAAGGGCCCAAGAACACTTTTGCAAAGTGTTAATTTAAGGTTTGGTGGTGATGGTGGGAGGGGTCAGTGGCACCCTAGTTCTCACTCCAGACACACCCCTGCTTCTCCCTGAGCACCACTCATGTAGATGAAAACTAGCTTGTAGCTTGGTGTTTCCTTAAAATCGCGATTCGCTGACTGAACACACATTTCGTATTTCCATCAATATGTGACTGTGTAATCTCAGAAAATACCCGTTTTGCTTGGCACGGCTCTAACGACCACGGGACGGGGGAGTTCGAGGATGAAGGGACGTGTTGCGCATGCGCCGTGATCAACATCAACATCACGGAGAGAAAGGTGATGGCGGATGATGGAAGGGAAGAGTCGCTGGGGACTGACGATGATTCAGACCAAACGGGAGCGGATGGCAGCTTGAACAACACTGTGAGACCGTAGCTTCTCTTTATCCCGGTTGACCTGCTCATTTGTTTCGTTCTTATTTGTCATTGCGCGTTATTCAACGCTACATGGCATTTAGCGTTGACCTAAAGCTCAGGGCAGAGGCTCCTTACATACAGTCTAGCACATGCAGGACCATACACGTCAGCATATCACTGTGCTCAGTAATGTTTTTGCGTTTAACTCATTTTGCGGATATTACCATGTTAATTTGGCTATAAAAGCGGATCGCGTGCGTCATATAAACAGCTGTTAGCGTAGGGAGGAGCATGGAGCTGATGGATGATCGAGCTGCGCATGTTTTAGAGACAGCTGAAGGAAAACACAAGGTTGGAGTTGTGCATGTTCCTGGGATGCAGCGCAGTCAGAGTAGTTGTTCACCCTACGAGTCAACAAACACGAATTACTATGTGAGAGTCACGGAGTCTGTTTAAAACGTTTTTGTCTTTCATTTAAGGAACTTAATGGAATCAATTTGTCTACCTGTGTCAGGGATACACTCCGTCATCCATCCATTTTCTTCATTAATTGTCCAATTCAGGGCTGGAGCATAACCCAGCTGGCATAGGTGGGGTGCACGTCATGCATATTCAGAACATGTGACAATATCTGTGTAAAAAATAAAACTCCAGCTCTCACTTCCTCTTTGCTTTTGGTTCCTGCTCCTACCAACTCTTCGTAATTAAATTTACACCAAAAGATTTTAGTGGTATCAACTCATTCATATTTGTCATTGTAAAGAACATCAAGTGTTGAAGGATAAAACACCATACCCGTCTGAGGCTTTGTTGTTTCGCTGACTAATGTTACCTCAGCTTTTCTCACTGACTTCTGTGTTTCTTGGTTTAAGTGTCAGGGCCAAATCATGTGTTCTTTTGTTGTGTCGACTCAGATGGTGGAAGAGGGCTCGACCCTCATGCGCAGGATGGAGATCTGCGTAGCTGAGGCCGAGAAGAGGAGCGGCAAAAATGCAGTGAGCATGCAGGAGACGTTCACTGTGTACCTGATCGAAACAAGGTGAGCACAGCATGCTGTTAGCCTCTTTGGTATGAAAGGAAGTTCTGTGGGTTAAGCTGTGAGGTTTTCACACTGTATATATTTTATCTGTAATTCCTCTTGTGATGTTGCATGAATTGCATCTATTGGCTCAGCAAAAACAGAACAAAATTCTACTGTGGTCCATTCTTTAAAGGCCAATGGATGCAGTCGCTGAAGGCCATAACCCAGCCCCCGACTGCCTGTGGAGGAGGTACAGTGAGTTTGAACTGCTGCGGAACTACCTGATAGTTACCTATCCGTACATTGTGGTACCTCCTCTGCCTGAGAAGAGGGTGAGTCCAGTGTGACTTTGTTAAGTGTCTTTTAAGAAATATATAATCTAATATGACAACACAAGTGTAAGCACTTCCAGTTAACTCTGGCAATTGAAGGCTTAGTCAATATTGAGCTGAAAATCTTTGTCATTACTCATACAATGCATGACACATGATTAATACCATCATAACACTGACATATAATGATTTGTCATGTATTAATCTTTTTATTGCTGAATTTTAAAATGGGTCAAAATGCAACATTAAGTTGTAGAGTAATTTCTTTGTGAAGGATGTGATGTTTCCTCCAGACCGCCTTGGCCCTGCTCATTAATCACTAATGTCACTAATGACTAGCATCCACTTAATAGCACAACCCACACTCCAAAGCAGATTCCACAGTAGGACAGAAAAGCAAACAGTGACGTGGCATCAAAGAGGATTTTTCTAGCGATAACGTTAGCAGGCAAACAAGCTAAGAGTAGCTAGCTAACTGCTACTGAATTAGCACTAGCTGCATTAGTTAGATGTAGCTAGTGCTAATTTATTTAATGAAGCATGTCTCACCAGAATATTTCATTCTTGCTTGTTAATGTTAACTAATGCTAACGTGCTTGACTTGGATGGAATGGTAAATGCACTGATTCTTATACAGCCATTTTCTACTGTCCCGGAGTACTCAAAGCGCTGTATACAACATGCCACATTCACCCAGTCACACCCATTCTCACAAGCACTGACTCTAAACTGAGTGCGGTTTAACCACATTCACACTCTGATGGATGCATCAGAGAGCAACTTGGTTAGTATCTTGCCCAAGACTGGAGGAGCAGGGATTGAACCACGAACCTTTGGATCAGTAGGGGACCTGCTCTACCGCCTGAGCTACAACTTGAATGGAGTGATCCTTTAGATAAGGGGGGTTTCTTTATATATGTAAACAGAAGCCTAGTGTCAAAAACAAATGCATGTGTGAATAGGTCGAGTGAAAATGGTTGGTCTTCATGTATACAGGCAGAGTTTGTGTGGCACAAGCTGTCTGCAGACAACATGGACCCTGACTTTGTGGAGCGACGCAGGGTTGGACTCGAGAACTTTCTTCTTCGTGTGGCTTCTCATCCAGTCCTCTGCAATGACAAGATCCTCTGCTACTTCCTCACTGAGGTACATGGTGCGGCATCTGGGCAAATTCAGCTGATCTTTTATAGATGAACTCCTGAAGTGTAACTAACCTGTTCTTCTGTCTGTGTGTGTGTGTGTGTGTGTGTGTGTGTGTGTGTCAGGAGCATGGCTGGAAAGAAGCGGTGTACGAGACAGGATTTCAGGCAAAGGTACTGGACATTTGCGAGCATCTGTTGCTGAACTCGTACTAACAGTTGTGCAGATATTCTCAGTGTTCAGTAAGTGTAAATATCTCCTGGAACTCCTTTTGCAGGCTGATTCCAGGCTCAGGGCTCTCAGTGCCACCTTCAGAGTGAGAAATCCAGATAAGTAAGTTGCTGTTTTAATAAGAGACTTATTTTCTTTTTGTAAAAACATTTAATTTAAAGCATCAACACAGAAATAAGACAGACTCTGCCACCACTCAGCCAGAAGCCTAAACTAAATGTCCACAGATACGCAAACTAGTGTGTGTCTGTGGGTGTGCACAGACACACACTAGTTTGGACCTTCCTGCATGTTTAAGCCCAGTCTTTGATGATTTCTGAGATATTTTTAAGTAACCAATAAGGGATTTTCACATAAAAAACAATAACATTCATTTTTATGACTAATGCAACGCAAAAATTGTTTCCCATTGCATTGAGCAAAGCACAGTGTCCACTGGCCAGGGAGCGAACGGCAGGGTATGACATACTCTCGCATGAGCAATAGAAATGCAGGATGACAGCAGTGTGCATGTGATGCATGTCAAGACCATGAGCGACTTCAAACCACGACGTAGTGCAGGCCGATCATCAGCTGCAAGATACGTTTTAGGATGTTTGTGCAACCTAGCAGTTCCCACAGTGCACGCCACTTTGTGTGCGGAAGGACCTTTAGGCACTTGGTGGTCATTTGCATCGATGTTGTTCTTCGTAAGGAGCTGATCAAACGAAATAAAAATATGAATCTTGTGTAAATGTGTCTCTCTTCTTTTATCACTCAGATGCTTCATGGAGATGAAGCATTACAGCGATGAGCTGCAGTCTCACACATCTCAGCTGCTCCGAGCACGAGCAGTAAGTCTCACTTTTGCCTGTCTCACACACACACACACACACACGCACACACACACACACACACACACACACACACACACACACACACACACTGAATCTTTTGCCCCTTGGAAATATCTGAAGCCAGTTCTAAACACAACAGTGACATCTTCATCATCCAGCCTCAGACATGATGAGGTGAACTTGTGATTACAGCTGCTTAAAAATCAATGAGTCACTTATACTGAACTTCAAAAATAACAGTGAAAGTTCGTCCTTAACCTCAGGAACATTAAGGTTAACAAACATCCTTCTGTGTGTCTCTTGTAGAGGGTTGCTGACCGACTGTACGGTGTTTTTAAAGTTCATGGAAACTATGGACGAGTCTTCAGGTTTGACAAGTTTATTATGCGTCTGCAAGGCTAAAAAAAATGTACTGATCGTTAATTTGTTCAAGTTTCATTGCCTAATTTCTCATTCTCTCAGTTGGTTTTAATACAAATCCTGAGTTTTAGCTTCACAAGCTGCACCATCTGTCCTTATATCCTCAAACTGGAGCCAATTTGGGGTTTTAACTAAACAATCTACTGGCAATGTTTACTTGAGTATATGTAGAACGCATGTTCACATTATGTATGTTTTTGTCTTCTTTGTTCCTGTGTGAAGCCGAGTGGCAGAGGCGTTTTTGGATGATAGCGTGGTTTTGTTGCGCTGTCACACATAGTGTGGGCCGGTTTGCAGTGTAGAGATGAATGGCTCTAACGATGTATCTAGTAACAGAGTAACAGACTCTTCTAACCCTGCTCACGTGCCGTTTTGTGTTAAGTAAAAGGAAAGAAAACGTCATTTTTAAGATGCTGTGTTGTCAGATGTTGCACTGGGTGGCGTACTGTTTATACTTATGTGTGCACATCCATGTCTTCACTGCAGTGAGTGGAGTGCCATTGAAAAAGAGATGGGAGATGGACTGCAAAGTGCGGGTCATCATATGGATGCGTACGTTTCCCTGACATAGATTTACCACATAGTGCTACAGATGTTACCACCAGCTGTGTTTCTGCTGAAGTGAGATCTTGTGTTTTGTCACATGGTTGCAGATATGCTGCTTCAATAGATGACATCCTAGAGGAGGAGGAACACTATGCAGACCAGCTGAAAGAATATCTTTTCTATGCCGAAGCTCTGAGGTAAGACCAAACTGCGACACCGAGCGATTTTCCAGCAGCTGCTCCGTGTTAGCCTGTTTTACCCATTCCAAAGCCAGTTTCAGTATTTGTTAGGAATCATTGTTGGAGTATCCAGTTGTGCACAAGTTGCAATGATTTAGCTGTTGATCTGTAATAAAGTTGAAGAATCTAAGGTGTTCCTTCTTCGTTATTCCGTCTACTTTGTACCAGTACCACAGCTCCACAGCACGATGCTAACACCGCTGCTCTTTACAGCTGCCAGTGTTTTAGGTCTGAAAGCCTCACCTTTGCTCCTCCAAACATCCCTCCTGTCATTGTGGCCAAATAGCTCAGTCTTTGTCTTGTTTAACCAGAGAACATTTCTCCACGAGGCATCTGGCATGTCCACATGGGCAGCGGGACATTTCAGTCAGGTTTGAAGATCTTTGAACTGACAATGTTGGAATAAGCAGTTGTTGAGGAACCTTCCTACTTTCTTAGATTTTTACTCAGTTCCTTGGACTTTAAATGGTAAATGGCCTGTATTTATATAGCGCTTTACTACTCCCTAAGGACCCCAAAGCGCTTTACACAACCAGTCATCCACCCATTCACACACACAGTCACACACTGGTGATGGCAGCTACTTTCCTATTGTTCTGAAGATCGGTCAATCCAGTGAGTGCTGCCAAAACAATGATATGTTTTATATATATGCTATTCTAACATGTTGATGTGCACGTGTAGAGTTTTAAAATCAGAGTCTTACAGTCTAATAGCCACAGGTTGGAGCTGGGCGATAGAACAATAACGATATGTGTTGCGAAATAACTTTTTCTCGACAGAAAAATTAAACTGTCGCGATAGACCTCGCCGCTCTTGTCCTCTTAAAAAGAAAAAAGAACAGCCAATCCAAATTAAGTAGCGCAGAGCCGAACCAATCACAGCCGCAGCGTCACGTCAGGTGACTTGTTACGTACAGCACAAGTGCCAAGCCGCACGTGTGTATTTGTTTGGGAAGCAGCCAGCCGCCGTGCCGCCCGGGTAACGGAGGAAATGAGTGTGCCGACTAGAAAAATCAACCGAGCGTGACCGAAGGTTACCGAAGAGAAAACAGATGATGGTTCCAACGCCGGAGAGATTGTCGAACGGAAGAGCCATAGAAGCTCCGCAGTGTGAAGGTATTTCTGCTATTTCAAGTCTGACAAAAACAGAGCAGCTGCACTGTAAATGTGCCGAAAGCAAGTCTGGAAATACAATAAAGCGGTGCAGCTCAGTCTCTGACTGGAAGCGCTGATTCGTCATTCGGCTTTTGTCAGACTAAAGTAACTGTTAAAGCTGTTTGAAAAGCTCAGCTATACAACAAGGAGAGATCGAGAATTTCCTTTTAGTTCTCAGTTTATTTGATATTGACAAAAGTTAGTCAGTTTTGTCTGTTCTTCTGTAAAACAAACTAAGATTTATTTTTAGAATTAATATTTTGTTTCTAAGTGGAATTGACAGTTTAGTCTGTTTCGTTTGTTCTATTTTGAAACTTAAACGCTTTAGCGGCTGCCTTTTGTGTAGTTTGTAATATTTGCCTTTATTTATCTGAAAAAGTCTCGTGTTCCTTAAGTACATCTACCCTGTTGAACTTATTATGGGAAATAAATATTTAAATCAAAACAAGCTGCTGATTATTTCACATTTTACTTGTGAGCAACGGCACATTTAAATCTTACAAATATAGTTATTTGGCTGATATCGTGATAGATATCGTTATCGCCTGAAATGAAAAAAAACATATATCGCCCAGCTCTACCGCAGGTAAAAAGGCTCTCCTCTGTGGGCCAATGAGCCTTTTACTGCGTAGGCTGTGGTGATGGATTCTCCATGATGCTGAAGAGCATCTCAGAGTCAGATGTAGCATGTGTCACATATGTCTATGTATCTCTCCTCTTTTTCGTTCCTCTACAATGCCAAAGGCTCCTGTTTGAACATGCAGCATGTAGTTCATGATGCATTCTTGTGTATTTCGCTCTGGCAGGGCAGTGTGCAGGAAACATGAGCTGACCCAGTTTGAGCTGGAGATGGCCTCGCAGGATCTCATCTCGAAGAAGCAGCAGCGTGAAGAGCTGGCTACAGGGGTACACTGCTCATGTTCTACATGTATTCCTTTTCCTTGCCTGTTAACACTTACACACGGCTACATAGGAAACATATATGGAATCCTTCACATTGCAGATGTGTGATTTACCTATCTGTGAATTAAAGGCAGAACAAGATGGTGAGCTTTTGGGACTGTGTTATGTCTTTAACTTTTGGACCAAGCGCAGAGCTTGGAAACTTCAGGTTTATCGCTGAGTTTGTATACCTGGGTAAATCCAAGCAGACCAGTCTGAAGCTGTGGACTCCCAGTAGGTTCCCAGTTTGCTGAACCATAATTTCCCCAGTAGAGGACAGAGCCAAAGCTTTGTCACTGTGCTTTGAGCATCCATCTCTGCTTTTTACACATTCATTCTGATAGAAACTTGTCATTCCAAGTAACTGAACACCCATCAGCTGCAGGATAAGACGTGCTTATAGGAAACTGCATGCCAGAAACCTGATCCATGAAAATACTGACGCTCTTCAGTTGCACTTGAGCAAAGATTAAAATGTTAAAGATTCCGAGTTTGAGGAGGATCTAGTTTTAGGAGACACCTGCAATTTTCAGTGTTGTCCCTTCTCCCCTTCACCTCCTCAGATCGTGCGGACATTCTCCTTCAAAGGCATGACCAACAAGCTTTTTGGACAAGAAGCACCTGAGCAGAGGGAGGCCAGGCTGAAGCTGCTGGAGGATCTGATAGCAGAGGGTGAAGAGACTGTCAAGGAGAAAACGATTGAGCGCGCGTGAGTGTTGAAAGCTGCCTGGTGTGGGAAGGTTTTGGGTAAAAGCAGTTGGAAATGTTTCGAGATCGACGCGGATTTAAAGATGATATATCTTTGACTGCAGAGAGCACGTGGAAAAGGCCTGGGTGGATATCCAGCGCTTCAAGGAGCAGAAAGACAAAGACCTACGGGAAGCTCTCATCAACTACGCTGTCATGCAGATCAGCATGTGCAAGAAGGTACGTCGCACATCAGCTAGCTAAGGTTGAAAGGAAAACTGGCACTCAAGTTTACTGGATGATTTTGTTTCTGCTCCCTAACTGCAGGGAATCCAGGTTTGGAGCAATGCCAAGGAATGTTTCCTCAAGATGTGAGGCTGAGGAAATATCCCGAAGATTTTCTCCCTCTAGGATGATTCTGGGAAAATGACGCCAGGAGGCGGTGGATCATTCAAAGACCTGAACACTGGAGTGTAATCTTCCCAGACTTAACTGAGACGTTTTTTCTAACTTTAAACTGGTGCTTTGCTTCTTTCAGTTTTTAAAGCTGGATAACTGCTGATGGGATGGGTGAGTATGCTTTGGGGCAGATAAAGTCATGTTTGGCAAAGAAATGTAAGAATACGTGGTGTTTAGATCCACACATAAACCTTGGTGGAATCTCAGGCACCTTTGTTTTATCCACTTTATGAGTTCAAATTCTGCATTGGACCATCCCATAGGTTTGATTTATGTTGAAACCTGTCAACTGAACCAAAGTGCAGTTTGTTTCATTTTTGTGAAAGTAAAGTAGGCATAAACATAGTGAAACGATAAAGTAACTTCACCTGATAACTGATGATTCCAAACCTTCCCCTGGATTTTGTGCCTTTTGAAGCATTTTTAATATTTGTGTGACACAGACTGAGGTTGGATGAGTGAAATACAAGAATATTATTGATGTGCTTTTAATCACTAACGAGCAGCTGTGTCTTTATGTAGCGCTTTTGCAGTTCATGAATGCAGCCTGCTAACTAAGCTTGCTACTCGTAGTTGCAGCATTCCTCGCATTCCAGTCTCTCTTTTTTCTCCGTTTTTCTACATGGAAGCAGAAAAACATCAAAATCAGTTGATTTTATCTACAGTCTTTGGTTACAACATGAATAAATGTTTACAGGGATGTGTATTTTGCCATGTGGAATAATAAAACTACCGCTCCAAAGCGTCCTACAGCTCACACTGCTAAAGTTGGAGCTCTGCCTTTCCATCATGGTGTCAGACATTTCTGTCGTATATCTCTCATTATATCTCAGTGGGGACCAGTGCTACCAGGCAACAGTGTGTCATGTTTTTTCTTGGTCTGAACCAACTGAACTACACGTGTGAAGGGAGCTGACTGGTCAGAATATTGAGGTTATATAAAGCACATGTATTGGACTAATGAAGCCAGAGTCCATGTTGTACTGTACAAATACAAAATGTTAATTTTAAAACAACCAAAGTCACATTACGTTTTCTCTTGCTCTGTCTGTAAAAGGAAGAGGCTACAGGATGTTGAAGTAGCAACAACACATACGTGCTTAACAATTTATTAGACCACCACCCAATGTGAGGTGTGTGCCACAGCTAACGGGTAGATTAACGACTAATTACCGAAATCCTTTTTAGATTTCTGCTATGGTTAACGCACACGTATGCACAAGCTCTTTAACTGAAACAATCGTTTTTAATGCTGATGTATCATTTTTGTTTTTTCCATGAATTTTTAAACTAATTTTTTTTTTCAAAAAAACAACCAAAAAATGTTAAATACTAAACTTGTCAACAAATTTTTTGACAATGCAAAATTGCAGTTATTCACTTTTGTTCCTTAACAGACAAAAATGTTTTATTGTTTGAATTGATGCTTAATACATTTGTACGTTCCTGCGCTGGCTCAAATTTATGACAGGTCTAATAAATGTGTTGAGCTCTGTATGATATCCCTCTGGGATCAATAAAGTCTCTCTGATTCTGATCTAACGATATCTTTGACTGAAACTCTCTGAAGGTTTTGTCTTCGATATTCGGTGTATAATTTAAACAACATGTGATTTGTTGGAAATGCTTGCCAGCACTAAAAGCTTTGTGAGTGCGATGTTTCCTTTTGAAGCTGAGTGAAGGTGTAGCCCCTGTTTGGTCTGTTTGAATAAAAAGGGTTGACACTGCAAACTGTATCTTTGTTCATTTTGATGGTTTAAATCATTTTTGGTGATGGTGCTGGTGACTGTGAGCAGAACTGTTTTGTCATCAGCATCATATCAAAGCCAATTTACCAGCACAGTTCCACTTCCTGTGAATCCCATTGTACAAAATTCCCAGTTGTACAATTGGCTGCAATGCAAACAGCTAAAACAATAATTTGCCCTTGTATATAGGCTAAGAGTTGACATTTGATATTAGTTTTTCACAAATACACTATCAAAAATACACGAGGACTGAAAACAATACTTTTGTCCTACAATGCCTGTAATGTGTTTTTGTTTGTTTATGTTTTTACAAATAATCATAGAACATAAAACACTAACATTTAGCTAATGCATGCAGACTGTTCAGTTGAGATGCCTTTCACCTGGGCACATAAACCACGTAGAATTGTAAAGGCACAGTTACAGAAACCCACCTCAGAGGGCGGATTAGGCCTCCCAGTTTTCAGGAATGTTATTGGGCTTGCAATGCCAGAACGTGGGTTTTCTGGAATAATGCTTCAGCTGTTCCTGCGGTTCAGAAGGGATGCGGTCCTTCCTGGCCTTTTATAGAGGCGCACATACCTGAATCCATTTTTAGTACATCGCTTGATGCTATTCTGTTTTCTAAACCTACCGTACCTACCAAACTTCAGAGTAAAGATTTTGTCCTTGGTCACTCAGTCAGGATCTTAAAGCAAGTTAGGGATGCTCTGTGCCTTCCAGACCTATCATTTTTTTACCCCCGTAACTTAAAACCTTTCTCTTTCACTTGGCTTGATGGACCCCGTGTATAAGCATTGGTCAGATTTAGGTCTTCACACTATTAAGCACCTCTACATCGACAATTGTTTGCTTTATTTGCTCAGCAGCAATCAAATTTATGCTCCCCTCTGCTCATTTATTTCAACATTTACAAATCAGGAACTTATCAGGAATTTTGTTAAACAGTCTTTCTCCCATCTGGATCAGCCCCCTGCTCATAGTGACTTTTATTATCATTATTATTACCTAATCAGCCAGTTTACTACACGTTGTACACTTACAGCACCACAGCAGAGATGCTTGGTTAAGGACATGGAAGCAGAGATATTGGACGCTTGATGGGCCAATGAAATGCCAGATTACAACTTATATTATATGTTAAATATGTTTAACATATATAACCTGATTTATGGCTTAAGAGTAAAGCCAGATAGTATAATTGCAGTGCTAGGCTGCTCCCTAACCTCATTGGCAGTTCTGCAGCACTATATACATATGAACAGTATTAACAGAGAGAAATTAAATAAAATGTACAAATATACAAACTGGTGTTAAAAAAAAAGTAAATATGTAATAAATAGTGTTATGTATATACAGTTGGGTTATTGCACATAGAATATGGTATTGCACAGTGGTGGTTCATAGAGGGAAATGTGTTATCGGTGCATGTGTGAGTTCAGGGTGGTTATAGCCTTTGGGAAGAAACTTCTTGCGTCTGTGGGTTTTTGTGCTGATGCACCTGTAGTGCTGTAGAAACTCTTCTGGACTCTGTGGACTCTCTGTTGCCCTGTCTAACGAACACAGAAGATCTTCTTCAGACTCTTGCATTTCTCCTGTACTTTTGATTTGGACTGACTAAGCTGTGTGGGGTTTGTTTGGTTGTTGTTTTTTTCTTTCCTTTGTCTTGTGTGATTTGATGTAATTTTGAACTTAAGGTCTTATAAATAAACTTAAACATTCACTGTTCAATCCTTTGATATCCATGAATTTGAAACACTTCTTGAGGCTATTACATCAAAGTGTGAATGCTTACACTGGGAACATTAAAGCAAAACTTTTCTGTCTTTTTTAAGGATGTTTCAAAACCAATATTTGCAGAAATAATGCAATTTGTTGTTGTTATTATTATTATTGGAGCTATTACAAATTATTAAACTGCTGCTGAAGCAGTTTTCATTGAATAAAAACTGAGCTGAGAGTGCTCCACCTGTCCACCCGGAGTCTGCTTCTGTCTTGGTGAAACAGGTCTGTCAGTTTGGTTTAGGGATTTGATTCTGGCTTTGGGTGAGAGGGGGCCTGCTTTCAAATTCCATAGGAGACCATGTGGTCCTTAGTTAACTCTATGAAAATTTATGCAGTCCTTGTTTAGTTAGCAATTGATCCAGGTCTCATCAGTGTTTTACCTATGTTACCGGCAGCTGCTGTTCACTGATCACCTTATTTAGGGTCAAATGTGAGAAGAAGTTTCCAAAATACAAGAAAAAAATAATTCAAACAAATGAATTCTCAGTTAAAAGCTCTGTTACATCCAGTTTGGTGAGCAATATAGTGTTCTGATTCTTACAGTCCTACCTGAGAAGAAATGACCTGCTCTCATTATACAGAGTGAACAAATAAAAGAAACAATGAGACCTCTCATCCAAGAGGCTTCTTCAGTTCTAAAAGCAAAGGGCTGCTTTTTTAACACTAACAGGAGTTATCCCTTAAAGAAGTCCCATCATTTTTCTGTACAATGACCTGACAACTAAGAACAGACAGACAGCATCTACTATCTTTTAGGAACTACTGGGATTTGAGCCCAGGACCTCCTGCTTACTATATTGCTTTCTAGGCTGGCACTTTAACCAACTTAGCCACAGTGCAACCTAACCTCCCACAAAGATACGTAGCTAATCAACACTGAGAAATCAGGTATGTAAAAGCTCTGCGCTACAACCAGATCATCAGGATAACAGTCTGGTGAGGAGTAGTGGTGGAGACCAGGAGTGCATGCCAAAAGTACCTATGATCTCCAATTCCTAACCTCTTTGAAAAGTTGGTAGGGCATTTGTTAAGGACGTAAGAAAAGGGAAGAGACATTCAGTGAGCTAACTTTAATCTGAGTTTAGTTAATCTAGAGTTTAGCTCCTAAATGAGGTTTTCTGTTGCTCTCCTCGGTGTCGGTTCTCAAGCTTTTTGTGAACCCTTTGGGAAAAAAAACATCTGACTACATCGACTCAAGCTGCTTTAAAGTAATTGACAGAAAGATATCAGCAAAAGCTAATGAAACACAGAGAAGGAAACAATTTTATTATTAGAAGAAAGCTTTTAAATGAGCTAATTGTAGAGTTTCTGTTTTTTTATTAGTCTGTTACTAAGCGCTAATTAGCAGCTCTGTGTTGCATTCCCCCCTCTGTCCATTCCCCCACAGCTCAGGTGGGGGAATGGACAGATTCCCCCACCTGAGCTGTAGATCTCTGCAGCTCGTCCAGAGTCACCATGGGCCTCTTGGCTGCATTTCTGATCAGCGCTCTCCTTGTTCGGCCTTTGAGTTTAGGTTTACAGTTGTGCCATACTCCTTCCATTTCTGAGTGATGGCTTGAACAGTGCTCCGTGGGATGTTCAAGGCTTGGGAAATCTTTTTGTAGCCTAAGCCTGCTTTAAATTTCTCAATAACTTTATCCCTGACCTGTCTGGTGTGTTCTTTGGACTTCATGGTGTTGTTGCTCCCAATATTCTCTTAGACAACCTCTGAGGCGTCACAGAGCAGCTGTATTTGTACTGACATTAGATGCACACAGGTGCACTCTATTTAGTCATTAGCACTCATCAGGCAACGTCTATGGGCAACTGACTGCACTCAGACCAAAGGGCGCTGAATAATTATGCACACCCCACTTTGCAGTTATTTATTTGTAACAAATGTTTGGAATCATGTATGATTTTCGTTCCACTTCTCACGTGTGCACCACTTTGTGTTGGTCTTTCACCTGGAATTCCAATAAAACTGATTCATGTTTGTGGCTGTAATGTGACAAAATGTGGGAAAGTTCAAGGGGGCCGAATACTTTTGCAAGCCGCTGTATTGTGTTGTTGTGGTCTTCAGGGGCGATCGTGGCTCAAGAGTTGGGCGTTCGCCTTGTAATCGGAAGGTTGCCGGTTCGAGCCCCGGCTTGAACAGTCTCGGTCGTTGTGTCTATGGGCAAGACACTTTACCCCTTGCCTACTGGTGGTGATCAGAGG